CTAGCCAACTAGCTAGCCAGGGTATATTCGTAGGAAGTTAGCGTTAGCATCAACGCTTCAGTCAAAAGACATTTCTGTCTTTTGACTGACAGAAATGTCCCAAAAGAATTTAAAAAATACAATCTATAGAATTATATCTTTGTAGAATACATAATGTTACTTTAATTTAAGCCACATTTTCTAGAAGTTGGACAAGAAATAAGGGCGCTACAAACATTTTTGTGACCGATCGGAACGGTTTGGTTTACCGACATGACTCAATGCATAGTAATGGCGCCTGAAGGTCAGATACATACAGTTAGCTTTGCTGCATAACTTTTGCGAACTTCTGCCCAAAGATGATGTAAATTAATAATACTTACATTTCTGGGTTTCATTTTGTTAACGGAACTGTTCTAACGCGGCAGCGCAACTTTTGGTGGTTAGTAAAAGAAACGTCTTTTTGCCCCAATACACTCCAGGACTGTGCGCATGCGCGAAATACCCGGATGTAAACAAAAAACATTGAACGTCTCCATTTTAAATAGTCCAGCCGCCACAGATTTTAATGTGATCAAACATATCTAAGTCCAACTTGCTTTTTGTTTATTTGGAACATTTTTATTTGAATTTTAATTAATTTCTGATTCATACATTTTATATTTTTAAAGGAAGCGCAGACACCCTGATGTGATTTATTTATTTACTCAAGCGTTTCCAGCTTAATTAATCACTATAATGAATTTAGTTGCAGTAAAACACATTGTTCAGCATTAAATTACCAATATTTGCGTCCACAAGAACATCTGCCTCACCATGTTGACTGCATGAATCAGGAGGCTCATATTTCATGAGGGCCATTCTGTTACCAGAGTGTCATAAACCAAATCCTTGTGCAGTTTTATAATAGCTGTCATAAATTACAAAACAGCTCAATGTGTCAGGCGGGCAAGACGATATGAATGGCTATGTACAGTATTTGGTATCATCTGAAAGATGAACTCTATAAAATAAACATATTTAATGTCTTATCTATTTTAAGTCCACTGACCTTCCCGAACCAAAGGCACAGCTGTAAGCGAAGGGAGGAGAGGAGCCGCAAAACTCGAGTTTTCTCTTTCCAGTGAATCTTAATCTGGTAAACAGACTCACTGAGGTCAAGGTCAGGATTAATTCGGACCTCAAAGCTCACAGAGCGGCGCAGATTTAACCCAAACCTCCCCCCAGTAAACGTTAAAAAGAGGCAAAAATCGAGAAAAGATTGGAGATTTTTACAGTGAGCTTCAGAATGCAAATAGGTAAAAACGTGAAATATTTGAAATTCTAAAATTCTCAATTGAATAATTGGTAAAAGAAAGGTCAGAATTAACGTCATTCGACTTGTAAAATACCTTTATTGCGGTCTTAGGAAGGACAAAGAGTTCATGACCTTTTTTTAAGCCTCCATTCTACAGGAGTACACGTCGCTCCTCACCTCTGTGTTCCTGTAGAAGGAAGGCAGTGATGGACGGGGCGTTTTGACCGGGTTGCTGATGACGGGAAGATGAATGAATGCAAAAAACGAGCCGGAGAAATGCCAGAGAAGGACTTCATTTAAATCATTAAATATAGAATTTTTTCCAAAGAACAGCAGCATCAAATAGTTTTATCTTTAAAAACACTTTGAGATTGTGATTATTTTTTATTAAAAATGCAGCTGCATGCGAAGCAAATCTTTACATTTTTGCATTTAATTAAACTAGGGATGTCTTAATGCGTAACCTAGAGAGTAAAAAAAAATTAAGCTAAATTTTATTTCTTGAACTGGTGGGAGTGGATTAATTTATTCATTAACACTGCCACCTTGTGGACAAAAGCAAACATCACACACCAAATACAAACTAAACGGTCCAGTGTTTTTTTCATTTGGTTCCTTTTTTTGCCTTGTGTGCAGATAAAAAGAAAAAAAATAAACCTGAAGTGTGGCTTCAATTTACACCAAATAAACAAACACAGTAGTGGAAAACATTAGATTCTTCATTTTGTGATGTAAAACAATTGGGATAAATCATGTTTGAAAAAAAATGTGCACCTCTTCTGGGAGATGCATCATGAAGAAACATGTTTCTAAATGAAACTACAATAACTTATTTAATCAATTTACTCATATCCGTCTTCACTTTATTCTGTGATGTGCATTTTTTTGGAGTCCTTCTCCTGACTGATCCCTTTGAACAGTATTATATTTGTCTGTATTATATGTACAAACTCTAGCCATGACAAGACATGAATGAAATTTATGACCTGTGCAAAAGAAAATTGCATATTTTATGTTGTAGTACCAAGCTTTTTTGTGCAGAATGCACGTAGCATCATACAGCAATAGAAATGATCCGGTGGCGATGATCTGCATCATCCAGCCAACAAACTACATTTACCAGAGATGGGCACAAAAAAAGTAGCTAGCTAGCCAGCCATCAAGGGTTTATTAGCACTGATGAGATGCCAATAAACTGGTGGGTGAGGCTACCACTAACTAATAAGCTGCTAAAGTCGCTAATTTACAGTACTGTGAAAGCAGTTTCAAGTATGTCAAAGTACTTTAGCAGCTAATTACCTTCAGCTAAGTAGCTGAAAGTAGCTAGTTAGCTACTTTAGCAACTAATTAGCTGCTAAGCAGTGTTTAAGGTTAACTTCAAAATGTTCTAATAAATGTAAGACATTTTAGAGCCTTAATTTTAGATACATGAAATTAAGACTTTTTAAGGATGCACAGAAACCCTGCTTGGATATCTAAGAAGAAACAAAAATGTTTAAATCAGTGAATAATTTAGAGTTTAATTCCTGCGAATAAGCGTGTGTTCAATGTAAAACTGATAATCACATAAACACAGAAGAAGAGGGAGACACGGCAGCTCAGATTCTCGGTTTATTGGTCAACTTGATGAAAGACTACAAAACGAATTCACAAAAAATCTCTTTCAAGTAATCAAATCTGTACAAACCTAAACTGTATGGGGGGTTTTTACAGCTCTGGCTCATATGAATCTGACGAGTCATTTGTGTTTGTGTGTGTCGGCGTGTTCTTGCTTGGAAATGATGCAACTCCTCACAGCAAAATAGGCAAGACACAAAGCACACACACACACACACACACCTGTGTTTGAGATTTTACAGTACAGGAACAGGGAAAACAAAACAAGCCTCCCCCCTCTTACCCTCTATAAGTATGCTGCCAAAGCCGCCGCGACAGCAACCTGTCTCCCAAAAAAACACCCTGCGATTTCAGTCTGGTTGCCATAGAGACCAACCCTGTGGTTTCAACGCGGTCAGAGCAAGGGGAAAGTATAAACCTTTCAATAAATTTGCAAAAATGTACATGTGATTTTAATGCTCACCTGCAGACGAGACAAGTTTATAGTCCGCGCACGCACACACGCACTCACTCACTCAGACAATTCATTACATTAAATGTTTTAAGAAGTACAGATAAAAAAGGAAGAAAAAAAAAAGCCCTGGGTATAGGTTTGATTTCTGGCTGTTTGGTGAAATAAAGGAGAAGAGAGGTAGAGAGGGCAGGAGGGATGGGCCGGAGGTCGAAAAGCAAACTATTGCTGTCATTTCTTAGCTTTCCTGGGAGGAGTGACGGGGCGGCCGGAGCCCAAGCCGCCTCCGCCGCCGTAGAACAGCTTCTTATCGGCGGGTTTCAGGATCTGTTACAGGAAAAAATACACCAGGAAACAATAAACAAACAGAGAAAGTCATGTTTTTTCTATAGATATTATCTGTATCAGTCCCAATAATGGGAATAAAAAAAAGAAAATCAAAATTGGTATCGGTGGGACTGCAACGCTAAATTGTGCTGGACGATAAATTGTCCCAGAAGTTATTACGATAACAATAATGTTGTTGTTTTGAGACCATTTTTAAATAATATGATGGTAAAGGCATAATAATAATGAAAGAACACACTGTGAAGATCAAAAAAAATTATTTTAAATGAATGAAATGTGCAAAAAAGCTAGTTAGCTAGCCAGCCTGCATCGTAGATGTCTTAACAGAAAAGTCCAGTGAGAAAAAAACACATAGAATATACGATTAAATAGTTCTGTAAAGACACAACTTAAGACCTGTGATTTAAGGCCAACTTACTTTTAAGCCCTTATTTTTAGATTTTTAGGACGTACAGACGTTCATTCTCACCATTAAACAGAAATTTCTTGTGGCCCTAAAACTCCGTCTGTCATTTATAATTCTTTACAAGAGGCTAAAAAATTTATTAAAATTGGAAATCGAGTTAGGTATTGTGGTGGAAAACTGCGTAGATACGTAGATTTTATTTTTCATCATTTTCAAAGATTCAGGTGTAACGCTCACCTGGAATGAACACATGAGGGTCTCGTCTACGCTCATCATGGCTCCTGCGTTGTCGAACTCGCCGCAGTAGTTTGGGGCTGAAAACAGCGTCACCAGCTGCCGCTTAGCAAAGAACTCATAACCGTCCTCAACCACCTGAAAACAGACGCAGGAGACGCTCAAAACACAGCAGAGCGAGCAAATAAAAATGTTTTTAAACCCAAAAAAAATACACACAAAAAAGAAAAAAAATGGATAAAAAAAAAAAGAATTAAAAACATTAAAATTTGTTCTCCCCTCCCCAAACTCTCAGTAGTTCAGGTGGGAGTTAAAATGCTCCTTCCAGACGCTAACGTGTGTTTATCACTGATTCTAACAAAGGTTTTAAGATCTAGAGAACATTTGATGCTATTAATGACGATACGGCTAACAATTATCTGAGTAATCGATTATTCTATTGACAGACGATTAATCGATTTCCCCAAAGATTAACCAACTATCCCAATAATTAATCAATTTTTCAGACAATTAATCGATTGTTCTACTGATTAATTTATTATTCGTACTATTAATTGATTGTTGTATCGATTGAGTATTCCAACGATTAATCAAGTAAAAAATTAGCACATTATAACAATTTTTCAGCCGCTTTGGCTGATTTTGACAGTATTAAAAATACATTAAAAATGCTAATGAATAACTAAATTCCTTTCCTAAATGAGAAAAACACTATACTGCCTAAAATGCAGCAACATATTCCTTTAGTGTACTCTATCATTTGTAGCATGTGCAGCTAAAAAGTACTTTTAAAAAAATCAACATGTAAAAAGTTCAGCCCTTTCTGTTCGTCCTAACATCAATACAGTGTAGGGCTGGTTAATTTTTTAGATTAACTAATTAATAATTGGATAAAAAAGGTGTTTAGTAGGAGTTTGAACCAGGTGAACGTAAATCTGCCACTTTACAATTTCTGTGTAAAATATTTTTGCAGACAAAGAACGTTTTTCATCTTAAATGTAAAATGTTTATATTTTTGTTCAGTTTGGGCTTAATTGTTGCTCTGACTGTGCTGTTCTTTTAATAAAACAGCACAGTTTTACTTTTAAATATCTGTATTGTCCAAATTAGACCATTATTTCAACAATCGATTAATCACAACTGAGCCGATTAATCACAACTGAGCCGATTAATCACAACTGAGCCGATTAATCACAACTGAGCCGATTAATTAAGCTCTAATTAAGTCCTAGAAGTAGGAAAAGGTAAAGTAGGTAGGAAGGGAAACTAGTAAATATACAAGTATAGAAATATTAGCAATATAACATTTATGTACAATCTACAACCGTAAACTAACAGAAATCAACAGCCAATATTTACAACTTGGAGAGAAGTATAACTGAGCTTCAGCTTTCATTGTTGTTTTTTGAGAAGTTCCACCTGCTGCACTTCCACAAAACATTTGAAAGTCATCAACCAGCTTGCTGTGAATTCAGAGAGGAAGTTTCCAGCCGACAGGAACAGCGTGAGCGCAGAGAGAGCCGAGCCTTGCAGAAACGGGTTCCAACAAGCTGAACACGCCTCGAATAAAAACATTCCTTTGTCCTACCAGATTATTCTAAAACCGAATACAAATAATAATCAATTCAGCTGGAGGACAAGTCGCTCTGCTTTTGCTGACATCTCTCATGAAAAAGTTAAACCTCCACACCGACCTGATGGGCTCGACAAATCAGGTCCATGTCGTGTCTGTGCAGGAACTTGGTGACCACGTCTGCGCCGAAGGTGAAGGAGACGCCGCGGTCGTTCTCGCCCCAGCCCAGCACGTCCTTGTCCGGGTCGGCCCACAGCAGGTCGCAGAGGAGGCCCTGGTCGGGCACGTCGGTGGGACGCATGACCCTCCTGACCTGCTCCATGGACTGGAGGTCTGGGGAAAGGCCTAAACACGAACAGTGCCCGGGTTAAAAGCAGCATAATCAGCAGAAAATATGCCAATATTTCTGATTTAGAGCATTTAAAGTGCAAGAAACTGAACCAGTTCCACAGAGATGATGCTGTTTAATCACCAGGGATCAGTGGATTTAAAAACTTCAATAAATGTAAGCATTTACTGATATGGGCCAAAACGATTAATCAAATTAACCGTGATTAATCAATTATTGAAATAATCGTCAACATATAATCGATTAAGTGTAGATTAAGTGTATAGACTCAAAAAAAAGGGCAATTTTCTGAACAAACATTTTCATAGCAGTAACTCAGTCAAAACTGTACAAAATATACAAACATTTTGCATTTAAGAAAAAACAAAAAACTTTGTATATATTTATGGAAGTTAAAGCGATTAATCGGATTAATTTTGATTAATTGGTTTTTGAAGTAATCGTCAACCACTTTAGTAATTAATGATTAAATGGAGAATATAGACAAAAAACTGCATACATTTTCCATTCAAGTAAAAAAACAAACACCTGCATCTGAAAATGTGTTTTAGCCAAAACTCTTCAAGTGGCTTTTAGAGTCACCTGGTTCAAATTCACTAAAGGAATGTCATGTTACAGCATTTGTTTCATGTTGGATTCATGTTAATGTGTATTTAAAGACTTCACTTTGATATACATACACACACACACACACACACACACACACACACACACACACACTTCTCAATCAGAAATTGCACGACCGCCATGGAGTTTCTCCACAACCCTCCTACGGGTTTAATTGATCGATAATTATTTTTTCTTCAAAAAGTGCAGAAATGTGAAGTTCCTGCATATACCCAGAACAAAACAACCAAACTAACTTTTAAATTTAATTCTGCAAACTACAAAAGTGATTAAACCGGATTTAGATTTAAGCTCCATCGTCGTCCTCCTGCAAGGTAAAGCTCCTTCATGTGTTCACTCTCTCTTATGTAACCAGAGTTTACAGATCAGCAGTCTGTGTTTACATATTTTCACTCGACGCCGCCATTTTGTCTGAGCCCACTTTCACATGCTTTTTAATTTCTCCAAACCTACAAACACACATATTCACTGTGAAACACTAATATTTATTCTCAGCGGATGTGTTGAGTGATTACCTACAACATTCTCCAGATCCTTAACTGTTTTATCAGATGTTTTCCAAATGTAAATCCTAATAAGAGTAGGATAAAAATCCACCTAAGTAGCCAAACACTGACTCTCTGGAAACGGGACATAAATAGAGTGAATTTTACGCTCGTTTGGCTGCAACAGAAACAACAGATGAGAGACGGGGAGAGGAGGATACCTCCATGGCAACAGAAGATCTTCTCGTCAACGATGGCAGCGACGGGCAAACAGTTGAAGCAGTCGGTGAAGGTCTTCCACAGCTTTATGTTGTATCGCCTTTTACCTGTGAGAGAATCATCAGAAAATCTGAATGTTGGATAATTTCACTCTGCTGCGAACTACAGCGCGTTTCAACGGGACTGCATGCAGAAGAGAAGGGAAAGTTATGTAATCTGCACTTTTCTTTTTTGCAGATAAAATCTGAAAAGTGTGGCATGCATTTGCATTCAGCTAAACGAAGTTAATAGTTTGTGAGACAGAACCAAGTGAAAGTAAAGGTGCACCGATTGCAGATTTCTGAAACTGGACCTGACGATTCAAATTTTTGGGTCTGAAAAGTTTAAAAATTATAAAATGTTTGCCGTTCCAGTTTTAAAAACAGCTCAAAGTAAATCTGACTGGATGAGCCACGCTCTCGGCTTTCCCTTCCACGTCTACCAGTTAATTTCTGAGCACTTTAAACTTCACAGAATAATAAATGTTTAAGTCTTGCCACACATTTGCAACTGGATTTATGTCTGGACTTTGACTGGGCCATACACTTTTCCCACAGTAAAAACTCAAGTACTTTTCAGGTAAGTTTTTATACTTTTCCAGCGATGCACTTTGACGAGAAAAATAATACAAATTAACTAAAGAAAACTATTTCTGTTCAGCATTATATAATTTACTACAATTATTAATATATCTTGTGATTCTATTTTACATTTTAAAACCGGGGCAAACAAGTAAAATTTAACAACATTTTTTGTTTTGAAACTTGTCTCTTACACACAAACCCTTTACACCCGACTGGTCTGAAAACGTTACTAAAAAAATGTTTAAGTTTTCTGGACTTAGCAAATAAATGTTGGAGATAATAACCTAAAGCAATAAAGGTTTAGTCTGATTTAAGTTCAAACAGTGAGAGAAAAATGTTTCTGTTTTTTATTATCTTTAAATATCTGGTTTCATCTTTAAATAACATTTTCCAAATTTAGGCTTTGAATCAAATGGTAGATTGCATTTTATCACAAAACTGTGCAGCCTGAATATCAAGGACTTTATACAGAAATCAACCTTGAAAACAATTAAGGAAACAAACGTATATAATTTACTAATTGGGATTAATTACTGGATTTTTAGACTACTTTCTGTTGAACGTGAATAAACGGATTAAACTTCTACACAATGTAAAAAGTTTTAGGGGAATGAATACTTTCGATAAGCTCTACCAAACCAAACTTCTTCTTCTTCGGTGGATAAACGAATTCAGTCTGAATTTTTCATGACTTACACTCATCGTAGAAGCCGTATATTCTGTTAATGGAGGCGCACTCGTGGTTTCCCCTCAGCAGGAAGAAGTTTTCTGGGTATTTGATCTTGTAGGCCAGCAGGAGGCAGATGGTCTCCAGCGACTGCTTCCCTCTGTCCACATAGTCGCCCAGGAACAGGTAGTTGCTCTCTGGTGGGAAGCCTCCGTATTCAAACAGCCTCAGAAGGTCGTAGTACTGCCCATGAACATCGCCTGGAGGGGGCAAAGTGCAGGATCGTATGGAAGACCGAAAATGACAAAAATAAAACAGAAATGTATCCATTTTGTGTAGCCTTTTCTTTATCTGTGCGTTTTTGTCAAGACATTTTTAAAAACAAATGTCTGCTTTTGTTTTTAATTATGTCAGTTTTGGTCCTCCATAGAATTGAGCTTGATTTTAATTAAAATTTGACTCACAACAGTCATTCAGAGGCAGCTAGAGAGAAACAAATCTGATTACTAAAATAAAACTTAATCCATAAAATTCAAAGATTTCATCTGAGAAAGCCCAGACTTCATGTTGAGCAAGTACAGGGTCACGTAGGCAGAAACAACTCCCTTTTAACATCGTCTGGCCTTTCACTGCCTAAATTGAAATTAAGAAAATAAATTTGTTTATCGTTAATTTTGAAAGAAAAAAAAAAGTTTTTCAATAAAAAGTTATTGTGATAAATTTCTTATAAGAATTAGAAGAATTTTGATTTTTCACAATAAAATCCAATTAATAATGCTTTTTTTAAAAACTGAAACTGTCCTTATTGTCAGGATTGATAGTTTTCCATTTTCTCCATTGGGAAACTTGTCCCGCAATCAGAGATGGTTGATGCAGTTAGACTGCTTGTTTTTCATCTATTAGGGTGACAAAAAATAGAGCCAAATTTATTAAGCAGGTTTCTTCATTCTTTAGCATATTGTTGAATCTCAATATGCAGCAGTTTTTTCTAAAAGCAGCTTAATAAACAGAGTGACCTTGTGTCCCGTTTTTGTTTCAGAGTTTAGACTAAAAAACATTTTCTAGTCCAAATAAGAAAAACTAAACCAAAAATTTGGGAAGTGAAATCCTATTTTTCTGTTTTAGATCCTCAGTGATTTTTCTTTTCTAAAATAATTCAGAATTTTTAGTTCATTTCCATAACTGCATGCATGTTTAGGTGGATAAAATTTTTAAAAAGGTACAAGAAGCAACCATTTTATTATTAAAAATAAAAAGAACTGTGAACCTTGGCAGAAAGTTTGGACACCACTGCTGTAAGGAGGTCCGACTTTAATCTGTAATTAAGCTAAAACAAACGGAGAAACCAAACTTTGTGCCACTTTTTAAACCTAAAAACATTAAATCTTGTCAGCCAAAACGTAAAATTAAACTCCTGGCTGAACTGCAGCACTAATTATTGGTCAAATAGATATTAAATAACACTATATTTAAAAGAACAAACATTAAAGTGGTTAAAAGTGTGATTATCTTGTCTGACAACAAAAAGCTAAAGGTTCAACACTTTCTTTGGGGGAAGCATTAATTTTTCACATCAATCATTATTTAACAAAATATCCAATAATCTGTAGATTTTCAGCAGAAAAAACTCAAGATGTGAGCCTGAATTTAGTGCTGTAATGTAGGGCAGAAACGATTAATCGTGATTAATCAATTGTTGAAATAATCGTTGACTAATTTAGTAATTGATGAATCATTAAGTGGAGTATATATCCATAAAAAAAGGGCTGAAATAACAGTTAAAATTGTAATTAAGCCATAACTGTACATAATTATACACAGTTTCCATTTAAGGTAAAGAAAAACTTTTCTCAGTAAACATGTTGCATTTTAAGCAATAATTTATTTATTTTCTCATGCAAGAATTAATTAATTTGTTTAACTGCATTTTTAAATGCATTTCTAATATTGTATTTAAAAAAGCTTAAGAAGTTAAATAAAAAATCTGCAGAAAGAGCCACATTATCTAGACAACTAATCAATTAATCATTAGAATAATTGATTACTAAAATAATCATTAGTTTCAGCCGTACAGTAGTGATTTTTTTTTCTCTCCGTTTTCTGCAGAGTACTGCAAACTCTGTCACTTTCTGAACTCCACACACTGTTCCTATGAAGTAACACTGAATGGTGTCATCAGCACAAAGACTCAGGAGAACAAGTCCAAGGAGACTTGCACTGCAAAACAACACAGCAGCGGCAAGACAACAACAAAAATAAAACATCTCTGCAGGCTTTTAATAAGAGAAAGTCAAATCCAAATGCTTATTAAATCCTGCAACAGTTAGAACTGAAATGATTAATCAAATTTGTTGTGATTAATCAATTCCTGAAACAGTCGTCATTTAATTATTAATGGGAATAAAGGCTCAAGGAAAGACTACATACTGGGGAAAAAAACAACATACTGAAAGCAAAACTGTATTTAAAAATGCATATATTTTGCATTTAAGATAAAAACACCTTTTACTATAAAAATGTTTTGGCCAAAACTCCTTAAGTGGCAGTTTTAGGTTCACTCGGTTCAGATTTAATAAATTATTGCATTTTAGGTAAGAAAATGTTTATCTTCTTATTTAAAAGGGAATTAATTTATTTATTTATTTGCATCTTTTAATTTATTTCTAAAATAGCACAGAAAAAGACTTAAGTGGCTAAATGAAAAACCTATAGAAAGTGCCATTTATAAACTCGATTAATTGATTAATCACCAAAACAATCAATTAATCATCAGAATAATCGACAGATTAATTAACTACTAAAATAATCATTAGTTGCAGCCCTACTACAGTTTTCCACCTCTTTAGAGAATTCACCATAATGTTAAAATAATCCACAGAGCTACAACAACTGTCCTCCCAAACTCAAGTGTGTGAAAATGCTCTTGAAGATGACCCTTGACCCCGAGGCTCACCGCAAATCTTGAGGGGCGCCTCCAGTTCTAGCAGGATTGGCTGGCTGAGGAAAATCTCCCGAGACTTCAGGCAGAGGCCACGGATTTCATTCTCTGTCAGCTGAACGTTTTTACCGGGTCTGGATCCTTTCACTTTGCAGATAAAACAAAACAGAACAAAAAGTTTGTCAATAAAAAACAACTCCTCTTAATAGTCTGAATTTAAATAGATTCATCATTTTGTGCCCAAAAATACAAATTGGTACTGACTATTCCATCTCTACTTTTGAAAATTAGTTTTATACAGGATCTAAGGATGATTTTTACAAGAATGCAGCTAATATTTAAGTCTCTTTTAAAAGACAATTTTCAGATTTCTCAATCAATAATTGTGATATTTTATGTCTGGAAGTAGAAATATTAGAAGAGAAATATTAGAAGAGAAATAGCCAAAAAAAGATAACAGGAAAGGATTGAATGTCCTTTAAAAAAAAGGCTTAAGTGGTTAAATGAAAACTCTACAGAGTATGCCATTTACAAAATCCGACTAATCGTGAAAACAATTGACTAATCGTCAGAACAATCGATTAATCGTCAGAACAATCGATTGTTCAACAAAGAAGGTGCCGTTCTCCAAAATTAATTATCTTCCAATGGCTTTATTAAAAAATAAAAATATTTTTTTTATATGCAAAATATATATTTTTATTTTAGCATCCACAATTTTTGCAATACAATTCAAAAGTATATAAAAATATTTTTTATATTAGTTCATTTGCTTGAACATAATCTTGCAAACACCCTAATATCAGCAACTATTAAACATGTTTTATATTTTTATTTTGAATTCTGATAGAAAGATCAGCTACAGATTGGATACATGATTTATTAAAACAAAAGTAATTTATTAATTTTCATGATCAAATAAAATCTTCCATCTTTATCTTAGAACCAGTGACACATTTTTTTCTGTTTTTATGTATTACACTCTCTTTTTTTATTTTTATTTTTTTAAAAAAAAGAAAAGCTCAAAATCTAAAATCGCCAAGTCAGAACTGAAAGAAAACCAAACATTTTAATCACTCAGGAAGCCTGAATGGTTACCCTCTAATTTCTAACCTACAAATAGGATGAAATTGTGTTAAAATAAACATAATTTCAAATACAATCATTTCAAAAATGTTGTTAATATGCCTACATTTGTGCACACTTTTTGATAACTGTTATTGTTTTTATTTTAGCTATTCAAAAATCCCACCTTTTAGATCGTCAAAGATGATTTGGAAAAAAAGTCAAGCAAATTCAACATTTCAAGAAATACACTGGAACACTGGAGGCTTTATCTCGACTCAAAGTTTACATTTTTGCCCAAATCTGAAATAAGGCATCCATCATTCTTTTCTTCCTTAAAGTGTCAATGTAAGGTTAGGGGGAAAAAACAGGTTTAAAATGTTAGAAATAGCGCTGATTAAACCAAGCTGATGCTGCACAATTTAAATGTTCAGCTTCGTTTGCAAGACGCAAAAGATGACTAACTCGCCTAGCATTGGCGGCTTCCCTGTTCGCTAAAATGGCACCTATGTGCGGATAAATGTATATTCTTAGTCTTACCTTCGAGCAGGCGCTGTATAATGGAGTCGATGTTCAACTTGTCGGCTTCCGCCATTTTATTACCCTATGTTTGGATCTTGGAATAATCGATAAAATAAAGATGCGGCGGCTTAAAGTGGCTACCGAGTTACTGTTAGCCTAACTACTTTAATCGGCTATCGTTAGCGCGCTAGCTCACTAACCTTGGGGGAAAACTGTCAACCTCAAAGTCTGAGGCCGGGAGTTCAATTAATGAGGATGTGATGGCTGACATGTGCTGCAAAAATAGTAAATTGTCAATATATTTTTAGTAAATATTCCAATTAGCTTTTAAATGTCAGTATTTTTTCCCGTGACAACCCCGTTTATGCCGCAGCCACTAGCACCATGCCATCGACAAAAAAAAGGCTAGAAGAGTGTTAGCTCAAAGCGACTGTGAACGGAAGTGGTAAGACTGTTTTTGCGCTGCGATTGGTTAGTTTTGATATGTAGGCGGGATCTAGTGCGTTGTCTCGTCTCCTGGATTGGCTGTATTCGAAGTATGTCAGCATTTGGTTATCTTAAAGTTACAATAAAAAAAAAGAACGCATAGTCGTTCTCGGTATATACGGTAGGCTATGATGTCATATAATCAAAACAACATTTATGACAAATTTTTGATCATTGTGTCATTTTTAAACAATGACAATTATTCAGATCTGAACAGTAATTTTAATAGTTGAAAATTAAATTTAACATGTGTAAAAAAAATTCACAGTTCCCAGAACTCTTGTGGGAACCATTACATTGGTTTGAAAAAACATCAAAGTTATTTTACAAACAGATTGCATTAGGTAACATCAGTTTAATGACTAAATTGGAGGAAAATTGACTAATCGGAGATAGTCCAACATTTAATTTCCCTTTGGGATCAACAAAGTTTTTTTTTTAAATACCGCATTACAGATATCTAATATGAAATACTCCCTCAGTGTCTACACTTCCTTAATGAAATGATATTTCAGTTCAGAACTACAGAATGGCAAGTATCTAAAAATAAGTTTGATTGTTTATAAATAACTTTATGCATTGGTAAAACTTTCAATTAAATGAAAAAAATATTATTGGCAGGCATGTACTGCATCGTTATACAACAACAGTGTGTCTTCAGTCAGAGGCTTTTCAGATGCACTGTAATACAGACTGCTACAGAATATCCTTCCTGCCCACAGCCATCAACATCTACAAAATCTATTTTTGTGGATGTAGAAGAGCCTTGGATAATATGAATATGAATTATAATATGATAATATGAATTATAATAACATTTAGCTGCTCTTCAGTATTAATAAAGTATTTCTGAATTTAAATTTAAAAGTTTTTTTTCATAAAAAGTTACTAAAGTATAAATACAATTAACTATATTACCCACCTCAACACATTTCCTACAAACTGGCACTGTGGTTTAGAATAAAATCTGGAACTGAAGAATGATCCATGCTTTAATCATCACGTGTAAGTATTAAATGATAAAATAGCTTGCCATAATACGCCCACGGAAGTGACCCAAATGGAAAGACGTATTTTCTCGTGACGTAATGCCTCAGCGCCTGGCAACATGAACTGAGTGATTCATTCTAAAGTTAAGACATGGCTTTTTCTTAGTTTGCGCTCCTATCGGTATAAAAATGTATCTAACTTGGTCAAACGCGAACCTCGATAGCTTAGGCTAACACTTGTGTTGACATTTTACCATCGTCCCACCATGAAGTTGCTCAATAAAGATATTGAGAAAGATAATGCCGGGTAAGTGCTAATGTTAGCAAGCTAAAAAAGCATGCTATTTGGTAAATGTGTCACCGTAGACGTAAACGAGCATGTGTAAGTTGCATCTACTCCTGCTTTAACGGGCGAAGGGGTTTGTAAAAATGCATAAAAGCATTGCTAAGGTGTGTCCAGATTATAACTTTTCTGTGACTAAGCATAAAACTATGAGTAAGCAGCAACATTTATGTCATAACTTATCTACGCCTAATTACTGTATCAACATGCGTCATTTAATGTGTGCACCTTTCTAATTAAATTCAAATTAATTTTAAAAATGCTGTATTGATCCCAAAAGGAAATAAAATGTAACGAATTTAATTACAGAGCTATTGTAGATGGAGATGGCTGTGGGCAGGAAAGACCTCCTGTAGCAGTCCGTATTACAGCGAATTTGATAAAACCTCTGATTGGAGACAGTTTTTCATGAAGAAGATGATCAGGGTTTTCTTGATTTTATTTTATTATTCACCCAGATAATATTCTATTATAAGCATATTTTAATTAATTAACAAAACTGTTGAATATGTTGAATATGTGTTTATTCTTCCTCAGTCAGGTGACTCTGGTGCCAGAGGAGGCGGAGGACATGTGGCACACCTATAACCTGCTCCAAGTGGGGGACAGCCTGAGAGCCTCAACCATCAGGTAAACATTAATGTCCATAACATCAAGACAGGAAACCGGCCATTTTCTAAAACATACTTAAATATAAAGGTGTTTTTATCTTAGGTGCGAAACATATGAATATATTTTTTGTACAGTTTTGGCTTATTTACTGCCCTGACAGAGCTGCTCTGCTGCGATTAGTCAAATCCCGAATTAGTTGATGATTATTTCAATAATGGTGATTAATTCCTGGTAGGAAGAGCTTCTTTCCTTCATAGTTACCATTTGAAAGCTGCTTTTAGCACAAATTTATTTGATGATCTGGGAAAATAACAAAAAGAAGAAAAAATCAGTGCTGGGGCACAGCGATCTGATAAAAATGCTTCGACATTTTAACTCTGCTGATTGATAACACAACACATAATTAGATGGTAATTACTCCTATAGTTACTAGATAAGCATTAATACGCTCCTTCCTGCTGTTTTCACCACCACAATCGTTACATAACCACCATAATTCTGAATAGTCATTTGTAGATTCTAGTCTGCTGCATGAAAATAACAGAGATGTTACTGTCTCCTCCAGCGCAGAAATAATATTTTAATATTTTTCTGAAACTTTATATATATATATATATATATATATATATATATATATATATATATATATATATATATATATATAAAAATCACCTTTAAGTTGTTAATGTGCCGCTCCGGTGTTCTGTCTGTGCTAACCATTAATCCGTTCTGCCTTGTGGTAATGCGCACATCGATGCTACGTATTGATGCTACATATCGATCCTACGTATCGATGCTACATATCGATCCTACGTATCGATGCTACATATTGATGCTACGTATCGATGCTACGTAATGTACGTTAGGAAAATCTGATGAGGCAGCACAGATAGAACATCGGTCGGACAACAACTTCAAAACCGTAAGATGTTCTACACCATTAGCATCCATGTTTACTTCCGCAAACATTGAGCTTCTTCTTCTTTTTAATGGTGGTTGGCAAATCACTGAGCATGCTCTCTATGTGTGACATTATTGCGCCCTCTACTGCACATGCGGGACACGTTCAGGTCGTTTGCAGTTCACACTGGAGATCACATACAAGTCACTTAAGTTGGGAAATGTGAACAGCCACGCAACCCCCAAAAAAGGAAGAAAAAGTCTGATTTAACCAAATAAATGTGAATTGAGCATGAAGGCCTGCAGTATGAGTGCAGCTTTGCTGTCTGCTGTCTCCCACAGGAAGGTGCAGACCGAGTCGACCACAGGAAGCGTGGGCAGCTCCAGGGTTCGGACCACTCTGACTCTGTCTGTGGAGGCCATCGACTTCGACTCGCAGGCCTGTCAGCTCAGAGTCAAGGGCACCAACATCGAGGAGAACCAGTATGTCAAGGTCCGACACTTTACTCGAAAGCTTTTTATTATTTACATTTAAAGAAAGTTCAGTTTTTCTTCTGTATGAAAACGTATTTTATTAATAGACAGAAATATCTGGGAAATTAGATCAATGCAGGTGAAACAAAAACAGAGAAACTCTTTCATTATTCTTCCTTTTTTTTACTCTTTTTTTACATTTTCTTCTTTTTTCTTCCACTCTTTCATTCTTGAGTTTTCTTAGTCTCTCTTTTCCTAGTCTTTCTCGTCTTTTTTTACACTTTCTTCCCCTTTTTCTAGTCTCTTTATTTTTTCCTAGTTTCTTTCTTAGTCTTTCATTCTTCCTCCCTTTCTTTCTATTTTTTGTTCTTTGTTTCCTGTCTGTCTGTCTCTTATTTCTGTATCTCTAAAATGTGGCTGTCATGACGTCTTTTCTCCAGATGGGGGCGTACCACACCATCGAGCTCGAGCTCAACAGGAAGTTCACTCTGGCTAAGAAATGCTGGGACAGCGTGGTTCTGGATCGGATCGGTAACATAAACAAAAAAAACATATTTTTTTAATTTTTAATTTACCAGGATTAAAAAAGACACTGAGATTAAAATCCTCTTTTTAATTACACAATCATTCATTCTGTTCATGTTGAACCTTTTTTATTTTAAACTTTTCAAACCAGGTTGTCCAAAGTGCGGCCTGTGGGCCATTTGTGGCCCTTGGATTAATTTTGTGTGGCTTCTGATTCAATAATGGTACAAATTTGGTCTTTTTAGGTAGCTTTATATCTTCTTAAATGGAAAACATTAAATACAACACAAAAAATTTTTCTTGAGTTATTTTTCTTGAGAATTCACAACAATATTTTTGTGTTTTTAATTGGGGGAAGGGAAAAAAAATTGGCCCCTGACTACTTTCGGTTTGGGGATTTTGGCCCTCGGTTCCTAAAGTCTAAACATAAATAAGGCCTGAACCTGCATGAGGCGCCGTTAAGCGCGTCCGTGTCTCCGCTTCAGAGCAGGCCTGCGATCCGGCGCAGAGAGCAGACGTGGCGGCCGTGGTGATGCAGGAGGGCCTGGCCAACGTGGTGCTGGTGACCCCCGCCATGACCCTGCTGAGAGCCAAAGTGGAGGTCACCATTCCTCGGAAGAGGAAGGGAAGCTGCAGCCAGCATGAGAAGGTGAGTCTGCTGCAGCGCCAGGCGTTTGGTTTCTCCTCATCTCGTCTCATTACAGCAATAAATCTAGCGACACTGTAAGCCAATATAGAAGCTTTATTTAAATTTTGACTATAACTATTAATATACTAGCAAGAAAGATTAAAAATATTTAATAAGGTCACTTAAAAAAATATTTTAATGTTTTCTTTGGCTTTGAGGATTAAAAATTGTGTACGATCTCATATTTTATATGACGTCCAATCACCAATCATTCTCAGAGGTGGGAGGAGTACGCAAAAATTATACTCAAGTAAAAGTAGCAGTACTTCAACCTAGTGTATGTATGTTCAAGTAAAAGTAAAAAGTAGCCATCCAAGAAATTACTCCAGATTAAAAAAGTATTTGGTAAAAAGTTTACTTAAGTACTGAGTGACTGACCAAATTATCATTTAATCTTTAAAAATTACATCATCAGATGGACTAAAATATAAAATTCAGTGTAAATTTTGGTATTTTACGGAGGAAAATGACAATAACTCATATACATAACAAAAAATAGCAAAATCAGGAAGAGGAAATGTTTCTTTCAATGAAAAAACTATAAACTAACAAAAACTGAAGCTGTGAGTCTGGTGGATGTTTGGTTTAAACATGTTTGTTTTCCATTCAGTGGGTAGAAAATCCAGAAATTTTACTCAAGAGTAGAGATACTTCATAATAAAATTACTCAAGTAAAAGTAAAAAGTACAGCGTAGTAAAAGTACTCCTAAAAGTTTATTTTTTCAAAATTTACTCCAGTAAATGTAACTAGTTATTACCCAACTCTGATCCTTCTCCACGCATCTCTGTCAAGAGAGTGGCCCTGTGCAGCTCTGTCTTTATTTTCCGCTCTGTTTCCAGTCTTTTAAATGTGTAGTAGAAGAACGCCTGTTGCTCGTTGTGTCTATGGGGCTCAGCACCGCCCCCTGTCAGTGAGGCGTGGTACTTTCTGCCTCACCTGCTGCTTTTTCACTACACGTTTATGACTGATCAGAAAGACTGAATATGTCACACATATTCATTAAATATATTTCTTCCACTTCATAAATATACACTTCAAAGTAAGCAGCAGTACAGCACATGTATCTTACAGAAATAGTTTTTTCTTTTCTTTTCCCCAGGCGCTGGAGCGGTTCTACGAGGCGGTGATGCAGGCGATTCTTCGTCACATTAATTTTGAGGGTAGGACAATAGCTAAACTACAAGTTCTCTATTTTAATTTGTTAATCCATATGAAGGTTTGCTTTTTGGTTGCTGTCAGTGGTGAAGTGCATCCTCGTGGCGAGCCCCGGGTTTGTCAAGGACCAGTTTTACGCCTATGTCTTCAAAGAGGCGGTGCGACAGGACAACAAGGTCCTGCTGGAAAACCGACCTAAATTCATGCTGGTCCACTCGTCATCAGGCCACAAATACTCACTCAAAGGTAGGAGCTGCTGCAACGTTTTGAATTAAACAGATGATTTTACTACAAGGATGCAAACAATTAATCCACTTACTATTAATTGTCAATTAATTATTTGCTAGATTAAAATAATTCCAATCGATTAGCTAATAACTTCCGCGTAGTCCTTCTTTTAGTGTTGTAGTTTGGCCGCCGTCCAGCAGAGGGCGCCGCTGGTCCCAATGAAGCTGAGCCAGTGCTGTATGGCGCTGAACGGGCTCTTTGCACCTAAGGCGTTGACGTCACATCTCCAGGAGCTAATGCGGCTCACTTTT